TTTTTATTGCACAATGCGAGATTGTATTTGCTGATTGTGTGTGTGATTGTTGTCTTCATGAAACCTGTGATCAGAGACAATAATAGGAGTCCTCTTTTAACATCCAAGGAGTGAGGATGCTCCAGCTTCTTTCATTTTTCTGCAGTCATAATGTAGTTTTGTACTTTTAAAATTAAATCCCCTTGGAGGCTGGGTAACTGCCTCAGCACTCAGATGTCTCTTGCATCTGGAATATTTTTAATGCAGTTTAAAATCTGCAATAGTTACAATAAACTGTAATTTTAACAGTTACACTAAATGGTAATTTTCAACAGTTACAATAAACTGTACTTTTAACAGTTACAATAAACTGTTGAATTTACAATAAACTGTGCTATGGTGTGCTATGGTGTGCTATGGTGTGCTATGGTGTGCGATGGTGTGCTATGGTGTGCTATGGTGTGCTATGGTGTGCTATGGTGTGCTATGGTGTGCTATGGTGTGCTATGGTGTGCTATGCGATGTTATGCTATGGTATGCAATGTTCACACTTGAATATACAGTAATAATTTTTGACATTACTTCAAACTTTGCAGTTGCTGCTGATGCAATTTACAATTATTTGGCATTTATGTAGGCAATCCTTCTGATGCAGCAATGCCTTGTTTATTTGACTCAGGATGATTTACAATATCTTAATATAATAAATATATTATTGTACATAATATATGCAGCATTTTATTAATTCAATCCTTCACATTTCTACATTGCCAAACAGGTTGGCACTGCATTCTTGAATGATGCTCTCAACGGGGTGCAGATATTATTGCTCACAACGTTGGGTGTACCATTCCAAAACGCACCAACAACGCATTTCAGAATGGCCTTCATCCCAAACAGTGTTCAGAATGGACTCCCAATGGACTCCCAATGCTTCCTGGAACGCTTCCCTCAAAACGCACACAGGGGGCGTTAGCTCAAAATCCCAACCATTGAGAGAATGGGTTGCAGAATGCATTGGCAATCTGTTTCTCTCAATGGTTCAAAGCCCAACGCCCCCATTATTTGCTGGGCAGGAACTGATTTTGGGAGGCGGTTAGGTGATGTTAGGTTAGGTCAGGTTAAATTGGTCAGGAGGAAGGTACAGAGATATAACAGGGAAGTAGATACAGAGATAACAGGAAAGTGCCAAATTTTGTAATTTCATAGATGAGCAGTTGCTTTTGTCCAAGTGGAAACACCAAGTGGAAAAAATGTTCATTGTTTTCAGATGCCCGGCAAAAAAAGGCAGTTCACCTGGCTGACAAGTATAGCGAGCTCATAAAATGTCGCGAACTTGTTTATAGAGTAGTTTACAATTCTTTAATGCATTTAAAAAACGTAATAATGAAGTACAATTTGGTGGTTTCCACAGTAAGGAAAAGAAAATCACGAGTTACCGAGCTTCAAACCTTCCCACAACCGCACTTCAACTGGCTTTCGCCCCATTTCAAAGTATACCATGATAACGTACAGCATTTTCCAAGTCACAATAGAGGAAGTAGATATAGCCCACATTTGATTGCATCTAGACTAATTTTCCTGCGTGAATGAGTACCTTTCTGCCATCATCGGTGGAAGTAATGAGTTCGGGTGCAGCCCATTCCCAGCAGGGGAATAAGGCCCGGAAATCCGCTTTTTTTTCATGCGGGTTTGCAGGTGGAGCCTCTCATACGGAGAAGGTGCCCAGGAATCATTGAATATTTCAGGAACCCCGCGGCCCACTGTGGGTACCGATACCCCTCCCGAGTGCAGGTGCCTGGTGTTGGCCTCGAATAAATGAATTCCGCGTGGGCGAAGTGTTGGGGACCTCTGGAGGAAACCCGATGCTCTGCTGGGATTTTATGGAATTCGCAGGAAAAACCTCAACCAGCTCTTATACTCGTGCACAATAATGTAAGCCAATGAAATCTCGGGTTTATATCTTTTTGCCCATCTCATTATATTTGCCCTTTGAGCAGTGCAGTCGTGACAGCCATTAGAGATTAGAGCATTAGACACTATATGCAGCTTTATGGGTTGGAAATTCCTTTCCTGGAAAACTCTTGAGCTTCATACTTAACTCGGA